AACCTAAAATAAGTGTATGAATACCAAAAATAAACTTTGTTGAAAAGGCTGAACATACCGGTATATGCAGGAACTCTGTAAAATCTGTTGTTCGCTTTTTGCAACATGACCAGCCCTTGTAGGCATCATGAAACACAGGGACACCTGGGTGGTGTTGGCATACATCTGAAACAAAGTATCATTCCGACAAGTTCAGCAGCTTTTCACAATAACAAAAATCAAATTTAAATTTGTTGTTCATGAGACGTGCCAAGCTCTGTTGTGAATCAATCTAATACGCAAGTGCCATGTTACTATGGCAACATGATCAGAAAGGATGAGCAAATTAACACAGTTTATAGGGGATTCAAAATGTACAAGGGTGTGTTAAACACATGTACAGTACAAATTCAAACATTCAATGTCAAGGCCACTTTTTTTGGAACTGCCAAGGTTTATTTCAGAATTCTTTGAATAAATTGGTAACATGCAGTTCTGGATCAACAGGATTTCTATTTGGACAATGACGTATTACGTCACAATTAAATTTTTCCCGAACCATGATTCATGAAATAAGTATCACATTTGAAAGGAAATTCGACTGAAGCTGGTGCGTATGTTCATGAAAGATTGGACAACCTAACAGTAACACTACTTGTCAAATATACGATAATTGGGCAGAAACAAGCTGTACTTTTCATTAAATCACCATTACATTACAACCGGTCAATCGATTCACATCATCTCTGGCGATCGCACAAGCTACATGGCGAACAGAACAGGAATTTTTTTACGAGCTATTCAATCGAATTCATTCGCAGCTTGAGAAAATGAAGCCCCGAATTCTAACGTTATTTTTACTTACTTGCTTCGTTTTCATCGGGACTGAATTTCTGTCCACATCCTTTGTTATAACATTGTAATAACGGCGCAGTTGACATGGCGAGAGTTGGCGTATTTCAGGGTAAAACAGTCAGACAGCGATCGCAAGCTGCACTACTACCGGCGTTTGAAAATTTTCTAGAATGAATCGAAAACGTGATTGAGAGTACTTCCGGGTCAAGGTTAAACGCCCTCTCCGAGTGACATTTGCAGTACATTCGTTTTTATTCAAGGTTATCTGTGGCAGTATTTACTTGATTACAAAGCTTCTTTGTCAAGTGATTTATACTATACGTCTTATTTTACCTCTAATGTATACATTAATGTAAAACCAATTATGTTTTATTTTTAATTTAACTATTTAGGTAGCTATTTTAATGAATAGTAGTATAGTAGACTATACTACACTTAGTAGAAATGTATTTAAAAAACATTTCTTTATTTTATGTACATCCATTGAATTTTATATTATCAGACCCCTGCCAAATAACTTACCACTTGCAAACAAATGCCCTTGTAAATTATTCTAGTTTTGATACATCTCAAATAGACTTATCTCCTATATCAGAGCAGCAAATCGATAGCAGTAGATGAAGCTACTGTTTTGTTCTCTAATATCTACCACTACAGTGTAGCTGGTAAAAGCTTAAAGAGGGGAGAGTCATCACCTGCGCATGCGTCAGATGGCCATAGCATGTCATTGTTTACAAACAAGTATCTACCCATGAGTCTTTGCGTTTTTGGCATATGTTTTCATCATCGCTTGGGACTCAATTCCCATGTGTGCGCAGGTGACGATCCTCTCGCTTTAACAAAATATAAATTATAGAAAATAAAAACATAAAACATTCAAAACAATGGTACAACAACAACCTAGCATGTCGTGAAAAAGATGTACAAAACATGTCTACAGAACAATCGATTGATCCTTTAAAAAAAAGCTTAAATCTGTGTGTTACTCCTTGGAATTCAAATAAAAATATCTTGTAAAAAAATAGAACAGACTACGAAAAATATGTACTAAATAAATGATGAGTAAATAAATTATGAGAATGGGTAACTCATGCCCTGGTGAATAGTGGAACCTGATAAGTGAGCTTAAAGGTGGGCAAGATAGTAATGATTGTGAACATGTTACTCAAAAAAGGTCTTAAGGTAGAAGTCTACTCATGAATTCAAATACCCAGAATTTATCCATTTTTTAATAAACTGTACTTCCAGGCAATATAAGAATATTGACTTAAAAAAGTTGGGGGTCACCAGCACAAATTTCGAGAAAATGGTGGTTGTATTTTAGTTGTTAGTGGACATTTTGGCAGTATTATAATGCTTTTACCATAGGCTCCTATGTCAGAACACATGGATGGTGACATACTAGGCTGAAAAAATAATATATTGTGAATAAAAAGTGTCAACAATTCTTTGATTACCATTATGCTGTATGGAATTATTCTAAAAATTGTGATTTTTGAAAAAATATTAGGATAAGTTTCTCAAAATATATCATTGTAACACACAAGAGAATGCTATTTTATGGTGCATGGGAAAATAGCTTCATGATTTTACATAATATACCAATGAACATTGTCATGTGATTTATGACCAACTTTCTCAAAAATGATGAGCAGACTTAACACAAATAAAAATGAAAATGATGAAAATTTAATAAAAGAACTAAACTATTTTAAAATCAATTAGGAATCCAAACAACAATTACGAACTAAATATCTCCTGGTTATAACAAATACTAACGAAGGATGTAACAAATGAAATTATTAAACCAGGGAGATTACATTTATTAAGCCAGTTGAAAATTTATTCAACCTAATTCTAAACAGTGGTAAATTTCCAAATAGCAATCATATCAGTCTTTAAACGGGGAGATAAATCTGACCAAGAAAGACAATGAAAAAAATATAATGACAAAAAAATAGGCCTGTGATTCTGATGCTCATCAATAATTATAATATTAGACAAGCGTGTCAAGGCCAAAATGAATCTTTATGTGTTAAATTATGAAATTAGAAAATGTTACAACAATTAAATTGGTATTGCTTTAAGCATGCCATGCCTTATGTGGGTGATCGCTGTATGAATTATCAACTCTTTGGTACAATACGTACATTGCCAAGTGCTATATGTTGAAAATCAAATGTACCGGTAGAAATTGTCCCGTTTAAAAAAAAGCAGTTTTATGAGAGGGCACTGCAGATGCTAGAGATTGTCTATAATAATATTTTTTTAAAAAGAGAAGTTTTTGGCATTTCTGACCCAATTTGCAGATTTATTAATCAGTCTACAGCTCTTGAACAAACTACCATACCATCTTCAACCAATGAGGAACCTTCACACCTCAAATATAACAACCAAAATAAATAAAAATGAAATATACAATCTAGCAGTCTAAAGTCTTGAAAATAGCATTTCTCCCAAAAAAAATCCACAAAATCATAGAGAAGATTATATCAGGTAACTTTATGGTTGACATAAAAGCAATTTGTGTGCCTGCTGGAGAGAAATTTTCTTGTATGTACTTACACGCTAAATATCAAGTCAATCTAATTGATGGTTTTCAAGAAATTGACATAAATTTTTAACCTTTTTGACCCAATTTGAATTTGATTTATTAACAAATTCTAAACTCATAAAGAAATTCCAATTCTGTCCGAATTCTGTATTTCACTGCAATTAAATTGAGTCATTTGATTGGACATGCCTATGAGCTGGTGCCACCAACCAATGTTGCTGTAGTATAAATGTAAAAGTCTGGGCGTCATCACAGATTGAAATCAAAGAAAGTTTGGAAAGAACTCCCGTGTGCTGAGAGTATTGGAGACATATTAAAATTAATTCAAAATTTAAGATTAGCCTTTCAAATAAAAATCTTGGCAACGAATATTTGTGTGCTATTTAAGATGCACAACATGAAAACAATGAGATTCGCATTATCAAAATTAAAAATACATACAGAAAATACATTGATTTTTCATTCGTGGTTTTTAGTCTAATTAATTGCAGAGATTTTCTCTATGAAAATTTAAATCTGTTTTTTTTAGATATCAGAAATGAGCTTAATAACAGAGAGTCAATATGCATGTTTTTCAACATTAAACTAATCATGTCCCAATGAACCAAATGAATTATTATACAAATTAAGTAATTATTATGCATAGATTTAGGTCCGTTTGTTGTTTCAGGGTGAACATGTACAAAGTTTCATTATAATGTGATGATTAATCCTAACTAAACTAGTGGAAAGCTGAAAAATAAATTATTATGCAAATTAGGTAATTATTATAGATGTATACAAACCACAAACTAATTAGATCGTCACATATGTACAAGATACATTGAAAAGTAATGATTAGTACTTGAAATATCAAGAGTTCAAATTTTTTAATTATGCAAATTAGGTAAATTCATATTTCACCTATCAGCTCTGCGCATTGTCCTATGACATCTAGGTACTAAGTTTCATTGAAATGTGATGACTAGTACTCAAGATATCGGTGGAAAAGCCAAAAATTGACTAATCGTTATGGAAATTAGGTAATTAATTGATTTTTACCCCAAACTAATCAAATCTGTGCATTCGTCCAGTTTTTACATGATTTTATCTGAGTACCTCCCCTATCTTCTTTTCATGTTGTTTATGCTAATTCAACTTCCTGTTTAGTTGAAAGGTTTTTCGAATTTTCTCTGCGATAGCTACGTGAATTTTAACCAAAATACTATCGGCAAGACCCAGGAGACAAGCAGTGACAGCCACTGAAACGTAATTGAAAGCAAATGAACACACAAGCAATGAGGTATTTGCACTACTTTATACTAAAATATGTTTGGATGTTTAGAGTACTAGCAAATTCCAACTTCCGGTCTGGTTAGACTTGAAATACACCACGAATATTCACTTTTGAGATATATTTGTTGGTATGTGTTGAATCTTGGATATTTTGTCTTCATTACTGTACTTTGTTCAGTAATTCAAACTTCCCAGTTTGCGTCAAAAATGCCTTTGATTCATTATTTGCTGAGGGATGGCCGCTTAGGTATGTACTCTGTAACTTGCAGCAAATAAACCTAAAAACTTTAATTACGTTGTAGTAAAGTCCAGAAAGTATGTTCAATGTCTGCATTTTTTTGTAGCATAAAAACGATTTACTCCCTCGCTTATTGTGACACCCTCAAATCAACTGATTTCCATTCCCCTCAAGAATCAACAATGGTACATGTATATGACTCTATTTTACGCCATGACTCGAAATAGTCTTGTTTGCTTGACGTGTTCATTTGCTTTCAATTGCGTTTCAGTTGCTGTCACAGTCGTATTCTGAGTATTGGCGATAACATTTTGGTTCAAATTCACGTACATGTAGCCACAGTCTGTGATGTAGATATCACCGAGAAAACTAAAAAAAATCTAAAGCTAATTTGCTAATGTTTTTTGCCCTTGGTCGCCATATTGGACACCGCATACAACAGCTGAATCAATGATATATCATCCCAAAAAATGGATAATTGGACGAAAATCGTTTCTTTTTTTTTTACCTCGACATTTTTCGCTTTTCACGCTAAATTTTGGATTTGGTAAATAATCTCTCACCCTTCGATTATTACACAGGGACTGTAGTTGTTACATGTATCACTGATTTTTCGCCGTTGGAGTGATTCACTTTCCAAATTTTGGTTTCGCGGGTGCCTCTAATAAATAACCAATCATATTTTTGGCCTCGACCCTTTTTCGCTTGAAAAGCAAATATGTCTATGTCTATTCAACCTTTGTATCGGCAGCATGAAAACAGTAATACATATCTTTAAATTACATTCATCATTTCTTTTCTATATTGCCATAAATCAGTTACATACCGGTATTTCCTAATTAAAGCTGATGAGGTATTTTCTACATTTTCATTTGTGTTCCATAGTGTATCACCAAAAAGGAAATTGAACCTATAATTCAACCCCCCCTGAAAGAAAACTATTCATTACCGGTAGTGATGAAGATTCAACATTGTTTCTCAGTGAGGTTTCTAATACTATATAAAATTCCTTCCTAATATGATTAGATGACGTACAAAGATAAAAAAAAGTGGCAAATGTCTTCTTTGCCCTGATTGCAGACTCCACAAATTCCAT